TTCATAAAAGTTTCTACTTATGCAACATGCCTATATCCTGCATGGAGGCAAACATCCATGTGATGTAAATATATTTCATGAGAAATTGTAAAATAAAGGCAGAAGAAACTGCTCCTCCTTGTTCCTTATTGGCCCATCAACTTCTCCCTAAAGGTCCTGGAGTGACCTAATGAAGCTGCTTTAGGTCTTCTTCCCTTCCCCAAGACCAGAAGAGCCTTGGAGTCACAACCAGGGGCTAGCCACAACAGGCTCCATGCAGAAAGGGCTCTCAAGCCTTTTGGGTGCGGGGAAAATTGTACCAAGTCTTGGTGGAGAGACCAGCCTTTCCTTACACACAGTTGCTTCGGGGGGGGGGGGGGGGGGGGGGAGGAAAGAAGAGAGAGGGATTTGGCAAACTTTTTGTATTCCGGAGAATGTTCCTGGTGGGGGTGGGAGGCTGATTATAGACATGTGATGGACAGGGAGAGAGACGTGGACATCAGCCAAGGGAGGGGCTCTTGCACAGGGTGTACCATAGGGCTGTCTGAGTTGTCTAACCTTTTGTTTCGACCTTCCACCCCACCCCACCCCAAGGTAAATGGGCTCGGCTGAATTTTAAACCAGACCTGTCATTCAGTGTCTCTCTGGCTGTTCAGGCCACACCGAACAAAAAGAAATAGTCAGCAGCAGCCCCATAGCAATTTGCAGTGATTGATAATAGTGTATTATTCTTTCAGATTTATTGCTTACAGGAATTCTTTAATTATGAAGTTTCTTCTCACTTGATAAATGAAAGGAAAAATGGAAAGGAAAATTGCACCATCCCCACCAACCATATAATCTCTTAAGGACAGTGAGAAAAGATGGTTAAATCACTAGCTATTCATCTGTTCTGGTTACATCAACCAGATGTAAGTTGGGAGACTATTTTTCAAAGTGTGCAAAAGTAATGGAAGGGGGCTTATGTGCCAGAATAAAAGGTCCAAAAGGATGATTCAACCACCCAGAATCCTGGTGGGGAACAATGCAGTCCTGCAGCTGACTAAAAAGGAAAGAACCACAAGAAACAAGCAAACAGAAGAAGCAGATCTACACCATTGCACTACACCCAGCAGCACCAAAGTATCGCAGGCTGAGACTAGACTTACAGTTTGGGAGCCTGGAGTTTATCTCTCCAGGATGCCGCAAATTTCATCCACTCCTTTGCTCATGAACTGGCCATATTTTATATATCATTTTGGAGAATTTCTGGAGAACCTGAAGACACTGATGGTTCAAGGAAATGGCTCCTATTTTTAAAAATGGGACAAGCAGAACCTGGGAACTCAGTAATTTATACCTGGGAAGATTCTGAAGTAGAAATAATCAGGAATCAAGCAAGTGTTGCCCAAGTAACTTTACCTCATTTGGTCAAGTAGCTTTCTTAGTAGATACCTGCGAAGCCTTTGAGAAAGCACTCTGTGTCATCCTGGTTAGCCAGCTGATTGTAGTGGATACAGCTCGGAGGGATGCTCTCTAGCTGGCTCCAAAAGTTTCTGATCAGCATAATTGCTGGGGGGGGGGGGGAAACCCTCAGACCCTCATGACTAAAAGGAGCTGAAGTGGAGGCACAGCTGATCTCTTCAACTCTCAGGAGATCTAATACTGCTGCAAATAATGTCTCTTCTGCGGGCGGTTGCTAGGAAGCCTCCAGCCCTGAGGGTGCCATCCAGATGGTATCCCAACCAAAGTGCACTAACATTTGTGCAGATACTGCGTGGACATCTGCAATGCATCTTGAGCATGACGGCTTTAAGATTCTCCTAAAGGTCTCATATCTCAGTATTCATTACCTTTATGAAACAAGCAGGTCTATCAAGAAGAAAGACAAGACAGAACAGAAAGGCCAGGTTGAAAAAACAGGCCTTCCCAGGGAGAAGAAAGGATTACACCATGATTCACAGCACGTTTTTCTGCAAAGCAATTTCTGATGTTTTCAAATAAGAATATTTTAAATATAAATTTGATGTGAGAGATATAATAGATGGACAGATATAAATGCATGAATGAATAAAAATAATTAATTAGGATTTGCCATGACATGAGCACTGTTGTCCTGAGTTTTGAGCAACTTGGACATTAAATCCTAATTTGGAGAAGCGGGCTATATTTTGTCACTGCTTTGGGTATTTGTTCCTACCTATAAAGTTAGTCCTCAAATTACAACCACAATTGAATCAAACGTTTGTGTTGCTACGTGAAGCATTTGTGAAGTGAGTTTGGCTCCATTTTACAACTTTTCTTACCCCAGTTAAGTGAATCGTTGCATTTGTTACTAACATGGTTGTTAAGTAAATCTGGATGCCCCATTGACTTTGCTTGTCAGAAAGTTACAAAAGGTGATCATGTGACCCCAAGACACTGAAACGATCATAAATATGAACCAGTTGCCAAGCGTCTGAATTTTGATCAGATGACCATGAGGATGCTGCAGTGCTCATGTAAAAAACAGATATGTCACTTTTTTCAGTGCTATTGTAACTTCATCGTCACCAAGTGAACTGTTGAGGATTACCGGTACAAAAGTGGATCCTTAACAGATGCCTCCTGATCCCTTTTTCTCGTTTTGGGTTTGGGTTTTGAGAATAACCGAGAGCTAAAGCAGAACAGTTTGCTTTGCTTCATGCTGATTGTCTACTGCTCTCACCACCAAGAACAAAGACCAGCCCAAAGCAGGAACTGTGATGACCCATAGTCTCTCAAAATAACCCAAAATAATAAAGTTGAAATAATAAAGTTGTCCAGGTTGAGAATTGTTTTTAAGAGTGAAGTTTCTAAAGTTTCTAAACTGGACAGAAGGTTCCCACTTACCTAAGTGTGTGCCTATTCCCTGGCTATCACCATATGTGCTTCCTACAGTGAAGTCCCACTACAGCTGGGGATTGCCAGGGCTGCTGGGTGACTCAGTTGGCAGGCAGCCGACATGGAGTTCTGACCAAGATCTGCCCTTCCAGATGGGCTTGTTTTGAATTCCAGGAGCTGTTTGGCGGTTTTTGCCACACGTCAGAAATCACAGCACCCCATCAAGAGTGCAGCTTGGAGCATAAAGGAGCCCATGGCTTTGCACTCCCTTGTGCAGCTTCAATGGAAATCCATCTGCTTTCTTAAAAGCCAAGTAAAAGTCCAGATACCTGAGATGGTCCAGCCACGCCTCAGTACTTCATTTCCTGCTTCTTGAAGTAGTAACTATCCACTAGGCTAATTCCTATGCGGACAGCAGCTCTAATTGGCCTTAAATAGTTGAAAAATCTTTGAATGAATCATCATTTTTGGCCACTATTTTATTTCTAATTTTTATACTTGGTTTACAGATATTCCCCTTGAAGCTGCAGCTCACAAAATATAAACTTTAGTCCCTGTCCCCTCCCCAAATTAAATACCCAAAGAGTATAACTCTTCAAGAGTCTTCCATGGGCACTGTATCCTGTAGCACCTGGACCATCTTCTCTTCCATCAATTTGGCTTTGCCTGAAAAAAACCAATCACAGGTAAGCAAATGGTTCAGGCGTCTCAGAAAACATTACAGTGGATTCCTAGCAGAATGCAGAGTTCAGGTGCACCTTCTGAACCAGTCAGTGAGGAGAAAACATCAAGCCATTAGGCCAAAACAGCTTTGGGGGATTAGCCTCTAGGAATCTCCACTTTCCAGCCATCCTGGTTTCCATTGCTCACCTGCATGAGGGGTCTGGATGAGGTGGATGCTTTGTTTGACTTCTTTGATGTCCTGTGCTTTCTGCAACTCTTTCCCCTTCTTCAATCTTGGAGAGAGAAAAGGAAAAGCTAACAAGCATAGCAGAAACACTTTACTTTAAGAACCCACAGCTATGCCGATGGGCCATTTCAATCAAACCCAGGAAAGCTCCTTCCAATATTTGGCATTTCAAGCGATCTAAAAATCTTTTCAAAGTCCATGACATGAACGTTCCTGCATTCTTTTCCATTGCGCTCCTGCATGCCAGCAAAGGCCAACTGCAGCCGATCCCCAGAAATGAGATTTTAGCGCAGGAAACATCTGAACCGCCGGCCTTCTTATCCCCTCAGGCAGCCGAGCTCACCCGGCGGGGAGGGAAAGCGCGTACCTGTTCCAGATGAACTTGGCCTGGCGCCTCCGCTTGATCCCTTCCACTCGCTTCATGGCTTCCACTGCAAGGGAAAAACAGCCGCGCGTCAATGGAAGAAAGGCGCCCGGCGGCCGCGGCCCCCCACCCCCGCCCTCCTCCGGGCCCTACCGCTCTGGCTCCACAGCTCCCGCCGGTACTTCACGGGCTCGTGGCGCCGCTTCTCGAACTCGAAGGACCGGTCCTGCGTGGGGACACGAGAGAAGAGGGGCCGGGCGGGGTGAGGGGCGGTTCTCTCCGCTCGGTCCCAGCCGCTCCCTCCCGCCGCCGCCGCCCACTCACCACCGCCAGCTCCTTGCCCGCCGCCCGGCGGAAGGCCTTGGTCCAGCGCACCTTCCGCGGGTTGCGCTTCTTCTGGAAGCCCCGGTGGCACTTGGAGCGGCAGAACCGGAACGCCTGCGGGAAACAGCCGAGCTCAGCGGGGGGACGGACGGGGGGGAGGAGGGGAGGGAACGGGGCCGCGGCTCACCTTGCAGTCGTTGCGGACGAAGAGCATCCCGTGGCCCGGGTACACCGGCCCGGAGCAGAAGTAGCACTTCTCCACGCGCATGGCGGCGGCGGCGAAGGAAGAAGAGCGCCTCGGTGGCCTGGCTAGAGCGGCGCGTCTCACTGCGTCCCTTGCCGGCCGGAGGCCGCGGCAGCCCCACTGCGCATGCGCCAGACTCGCCCGCTGCGTCAGGCGGCCCTCTCGGCTTCCGTTCCATCATCCGAGAGAAGCCCCTAGGTGGGAGGAGCCACGACGGGAGAGCTGTTGCCCCGCCCTCCTCGTGCCGTGATCTCGGAGCGCTAGTCATCCAGGAGAAGTCGTCCCCCCGCCCCCCCGTCAGGCGGCGGCGAAACGGCGGCCCAAGAAGACGCGGAATTTGGCCACGAACCGGTTTATTGCACGTCTGCCGGGCGCGGGTGGGCCTTCAGCAGCCGCAGCGGCCAGCGGGCTGCGGGGGCGTCTCGACGGGGCCGTCGGGGGTGCAGGCGTGGGGCCCGTCCACGCATCGCTCCATGCGCTTCATGAGCAGCCCCAGCAGCGACTCCACGGCCGGGCCGACGTTGGCGCCGTTGACGGCGCTGGTCTCGAAGTAGGGCGCCCTGCAAGCACAGCGGCAGCGTCAGGCCGCGCCCTCCGCCCGCGGGCCCCGCAGAGGAACGGGGCGCCTCTGCCGCCGCCCCCCCCCCCCCCGCCGCCGCCCGGAGCCCCGCGGCCGCCCGGGGAGGAAGCCACTTGCCCGTATTTGCCTGCCAGCTGCTTGGCATCGTCTTCCTGGACCACGCGCTGCCCCTCCAGGTCGCTCTTGTTTCCGCACAGCACGACGTCGGGGCTCTCGCAGTAGGCGTGGGTCTGCAGCTGGCCTGCCGGGGACGGGAAGGGAGCTGGAGCCCCTGACGTGGCTGCGCCAACCGGCCCCTTTGGAAAGGCCCAGCCGGCTGACTTTAAGCTCCCTGGGGCGGAGGCCACGGTGCTTTCCATAGCCCTCTGGGCTTCCGCCGGCATTCCGGCAGCGAGTAACAGGGTTCCCGTCGGGCTCCCTGGAAGCTCGGCTGGCTCCTGCTGCCTGCTTTCCCCGTGGCTGGAAGTGGGGTGAGACTTACTCATCCAGTTGCGGACGTTGAGGAAACTTTGCTCGCTGGTTAGATCAAAGAGCAGGAGAAAGCCCATGGCATCTCTGAAGAAGGCTGTGGTCAGGCTACGGAACCTGTCAGGAGGAAGGGCCAAATGTTACCCTTCTGCTCTCTCCTCTCAGGCTAACAGTGTCTTAGTCCAAGGCGGCATATCCACGTATGTCCCCTGAGCCCAGAGCCCTCCTTATATTGCTCTGAAGTTTTAAAAGTGAAAGAATAAAGTTCTTCATTACCAAGGGCCATTTCTAAAGAACCACAGGGACTCCTTACATTCTTCAGCCATAGAAAACACTTGATGCCATAGGTCAAGTGATACCGGGGGATTTCCAACCTCTGGTTGCACTCAGGCATCAAGGCTGCTGGTTCAGTCAGGAGCCAAATTGGCTGGGTAGTGGAGGTGGGTGGTTCAGTCCATTTTTCAAACATGCTCACCTTTCCTGCCCTGCTGTGTCCCACAACTGAAGATGTATCCTCTGTCCTCGGCAGCTGACCCCATCTGGTCTGTTGGGTCGGTACACCTGATTCCAAAAGGATTTGTGAATGTCTCCAGCCATCAGCTGACAAAACAGGGATCTTTCTCTCTTCCAACCCCGCTCCCCCAATACTTTGAGAAAGGCAATAGATCCTTTGCTTTCTTCATTTGTGGAGCTTCTAGAAAAGTAAGCAAATTCGTGTTTGACTAATGTTTGTATAGGTGGGCTCTTTCCCATGCAAGCCTGTTGCAATATTTTCCTGCAGTCCATGTTTGCTACCTATGCCCTCCCATCTCATAGTTTTCCAGAATCTCAGTGTTTCTGCCTTCCAACCCATTATGCTGCTCCTGTAAAAAAAAAAGTGTGGATGCTTTCAGGTTGGTTTCCCCTTTTCCTATTATTGGTGTTTGTAGTACATTACTATATAATGCATCTACAATTTGCACAGAGCTTCAAGCTGGTGTTTGCCATTTGCCCTCCTCCCAGCAGTAGCACCCATGTTCCTTGCACCCATGCACTCTGATAGGTCTGAACTTGGGCAACTGTGAATCTGCAAAATACCCTTCAGGCTGAACCATGATTAAATATATTTATTTGTTTTTAATGTGCAGGAATGTCCCTGGACCCAGCAGCCTCATATCCGCAGGGAGGAAGCAGCAAATTTCAAACTTGCCTGCATAAACCATATTGAAGAGCTGCAAACTTGGCAGCATTGTGTCTTTTGTTGTGCACAAAAACACTGGATGGACAAGGTCAGCCCCACACAGGAAAAATTTAATTCCCCCCAGAGTACGCCAGAGAGCTTGGAATGGAAGACAGATGTTTCTTTGTTTGGGAAAATGCCAGGGAAGGGCCCAGGGTTCGTTGCATTAGGAGGAGGATTGTCTTCTACACTGTAGAAAGGGGTGGATTGAACCTGCTCTCTGGAAAGTTTTGCTCCCCTTGGACTGATTTGAAAGTGAGACTGCTTTATAGAAATCTTATTTACGGGAGGAAAGAAAGTTTCAGCCACTGACAAAAGTCTCAAGTTCATCAGCCTGAGGAAGGCGAGAGGTGGACAATCAGGAGCATATTGTCACTAGGCAAAGTTGTCACTAGAAAGGCATCGTCACTTAGAGCAGTTCAAAAGGGCAACCCACAACTTTGCACAGGAAAGTAAAGACCCAGGTGCAGGGATTTTGCAGATGACCCCTGCTTGGACAAGCAGAAAGGCTGCCGGCTGCCTTCTGCTAGATACTACAAGATTGGAGGGCATCGTGCCCCACGGTTTCCACTCTTGGAAGGATGGCTGGCTGGAAGGCAGTTGAGAAAGGGTGGGTGCTAGTCCTTGTGTAATGACTGCCAGTATGTGAGAACAAGGTAACCAATCAGCACTTTCTCTGCCTCCCTCCCTTGCAGCTGGGCCTGGTGGCTTTTGTCACTGGTGCCCATGCAGTATCTGCATAGTCCTAAGCTGTAATGGTCGGTGGCTGTGAAAGTCAAGCTGGTGGATGGGAATGTAGCAGGAGTTCAGGCCAAAGGCGTTGCTGAAAATGGACCCAGGGGACAGAGGTGCAGGGTATGGGGATGGGGGGGGGGAATCTCAAAGGAAAAGCCTCTCTGCCTCTCCCCTCCTTCCTTCACCTGGCCCAACTTCAAGTGTGATTTCTCCCAAAAAGGAGGAATGGAGTAGGAAGGGGGAAAGCAGACTGTGCCGGGACTTACCAGCCTCTTTTCCCGAAAATCAATGCCTACGGTTGTGATGAATTTGGAATTGAACTTTCCATCTGTGTACTGGTAAAGGAAACTGGTCTTTCCAACCCCAGAATCACCAAGGGCTAGGAACTTGATAAGGTAATCATAGTCCCCGTCAGACATAGTGAGTGATCTTCAGCCTGAAGGGGAGGGTAGGAAGAAAAAAAAAAGTTTTTTGAGTCCAGGGTCTCAAGAGGAGCCTATCAAGTAAGAGGCTCAAAAAGACACTGTGGGCACATCTTGTCCACAGGTAGCACAACTGTGTTGGCAGGTGGCTTTGATGCACTATGGGCATCAAAAGGCTCTTTGGACCTCTGCCATTTGGACTGGATATTGTGGTATAGAACTGCATGGAGGTGAGGGCAACAGATAGGACTGTGAAACCTAAATGGGTCAAGATTTCTCTGGGGCCCAGCACTCATTCGAGGAGATTCTGCTGCAGGTGGGGATCTCCTGCCCTTCCTGGTAGTCTTTTAAAAGTTCTACTTCCCACACAGATAATACTAGGGAGATGCTCGCCTTTGGCGTTCCTCTCAGTGGAAAAGGGGAGCCATGTACTTTCAGCAGACTCCCACTGCCTCCTGGGTTAGCCCCAGATTCCCACCGGTTGCCTTCAGGCTGTCTCCAAGAGTCTATAAATGCTTCCTCATTTGTCCCTAAGCCCAGCACAAACACGGCCTAGCCATCTCTTTCTTCCTCCTCCATGACAAGGACAGACAAATCATTGGGATTTGGCCAACAGACCCAAGGCATGTTTTCCCTTGGCCTGCTGCCTCCTGGAAGCCCATGGCTGCCTGCAGTTAGATTTTGCCTACCAATCTGGTTGCATGTTTTCATTACTGGAAAAAAGCCATTTTATTCCTTCCACACGGGTCCCCTAATAGAGTGCAAGCTTGGTTTCTGATCAGTCTTGGGCGTTTGACAGTTGGGACGTGAGCAGAGGAAGACGGGTGCTCCCAAGGAAGACAGCTGGCTTCTTATCATGAAATTGGCCAAGAGGTGAGGTGCCTCCTCCCTCCGCAAATACTGAATCAGCAGCCGCCTTCCACTGTGTTGCCTGGAGGAAGCCTGGGAGCTTTTTGGCTAATGCCATGGGGCTCCTTCCCAGAACGCCTGGCAGACAAACAGATGGGGCAGGAAGGTCAGTAGTGCAGTGCTCATGATGGAAAGGGAGCCTTCCTCTTCAGGAGTCCAGACTGCAGGAAATCCCCCCCCCCCCGGCCAAATTAACCTTGCAGGGGATCCCTAGACAACCTCAGCTACCCTGCCATGCAGCACCAGACCCCCAGTTTGACTTGTGGGAGGCAGGGATGAGTCTTCTACTATACCAAATGGAGGGCAGTGCCAGGGGCTAATCTTGGAATTGGCACCCTGCAAGGCTGCCCCAGGATCTATTGCAAACAATCTCCCCCAGATCTCTGTGAGTAGACAGATGTGGGGTTTCTTCTCTGTCCAGGGCATCTGGGCACAGCTGCTGTGCTGTTCTGTAAGCCCCATTGGCCTGGGCTGATCTCTGCCTCCCCACCTCCTTTTTGCATTAGCCTCCTGCATTCCCTGGTTGGTTTTGGCTGCATCACCCACAGAAGGCGCCTCCATGCCGAATGAGAATGCTGGAAGAGGGTTAAAAGAGGAAAAGGGGCTGTATGGAAGCCATAGGGCAATGCCTGCTTCCGCTGCTTGGCACCTGCCTCAGTCTTCCCAGGTTATTCCACCACCCTGGAGAGACCCCAGGCCCAGGACGCTGCTTTTGCCACACACATACCCCTGCTCCTGAGCTGCTGCTTTGCAACAAGCAGTCAGGCTGAAACTCTCCTGGTGGAGGGAAGTCTTCTCCCTATGTGCCCCCCCCCATCCCACCCTGCAACAAAGCACCCAAAAGAGGCTGACCACTCACCCTGCTGCTGCTGCTGCTAGAGGTGCCTTGGGCTGGCCTCCCGAGCCCCACCTGCTTCTCAGAGAGCCAGGAATGGCAGCTGAAGCAGCTTACGTGTCACCTGGAGACTGGGATGGGTGGAAGGTGTGCTTGCTGAGGCCAGCCAAGGGCACCAGGGATGGGAAGGGGCTGTGCCATCACCCCTCCTCATTTGCAGGAGCTGAGGCTGCCTTCTCTGCCTCGTGGGCTTCCTTTTGCCAAGCAAGCGGATTTGGCTGGACAATTCACAGGGCAGCCTTGTGCCCAGGCTTCCCAGTCCCTGCAGAGGGAGCTGCCGCCACCAAAGCTGAGCAAACAGAAAAGCTACTCTAGGAAGGGATTGTGACTGAAGGATTCAGACCTGGGAGTGGCATGGAAAGGGGGCAAATGCAAGAGAATGGCATCTTCTGCTAGGTAAGTTCAGAGGGGCCAAGGAGGGGTGTCCTGAGGAATGTGATCAGACAGCCCTGCTGCTTGTGGGAGGAGGCGGCTTCACAGTTTAGCAGGGTGCTCCCCACTTACCTTTTAGCAAGACCTCTCCCATATGCTAGAGAGGCGTGTGCGCGCATGTGCAAATGTGGGCATTTACTCTAAAGGCTTCAGCAGCTCAAATTTCATCAAGACAGACTATGAAAGCGCTAGATCGGTTCTGTCTCTCATCTTTTGCCACGCACAGCCTCCATACAATGGTGGCCCTCCCTCAGTCAGACTCTCCGCAGCCGCCTTCCTGCAGGCTACAAAGCCCTCCCAGGATGCCTCTCCCACTTCCCCAGAGCAAGAAGCCGCCAGCCCTGCAGGATTTCCTCTGTGGAGCAGGAGGAGGGGAACCGGACAGGAGAGTCTGGCTGAAGATCAAAAGGGGAGGGGGAACATTGGCAGACCTGGCAAGCTCTCGTCTTCAGCTGAAGGGCTTCCATAGTCTGACAGCTACAGAGGTAAAATGCGCTGATCCCAGAGGCTCTCACGCCATCACCCTATAGCGCAGGAGGGACCTGGAGCCTCCAAAAATGAAAGCAAAAGCATTGTAGCGTGGCTGGCTGGCTCTGTATGAAATAGTGTGGTCAAGGGCTTATCAGTCTGTTGCTGAAAAGGCCATTTCTCTTGCTAAATCGGCTTGATTGCGTATCTGAGGTGTTATCTTTCATACCTCATTAGAGCAGAACATATGCGAAGCCCCTCAAAATGCAAAGAGTTCACATCTTTTTCAGAAGAATCCCAAGACTCAAAGACTCATGTCTGGACCCAAACAGAGCACTAGAAGGAAGAATCTCGCCTGCAATTTCTGCCTTGCAGTGAGACACCCCCCCTCCCCCAACTTCGTTTGCAATGCAAGGAGAGGATCTACTCCCTTAGATTGAGGACAGAAACAAGGAGAAACAATGGGAAAGATCGGTCCCGGGGCCTAATTCAGCAGAAAGTGCTTTAAAATATGACTGCATTCACATGGGCAGGGCTAGTATTTGAAGGAAATCTTTGTGGATGGGGGACCTGCAGTCTGCCCAGATGGGTTATTTCAGTGGAGGTCAACTCCTTTGCCATCCTGTTTGCGTACTGTCTGCAGAATGAAATTTGGAATCTGCTACAAGATCCGGCGTTGGTGTCAAAAATTAGTGGGACCAATTTGAGGAAGCCTGGGGGACCGATAGCTCTTAGTAAGGCTGCTTCTGTGGGGCATCTGGTGGGAGAATAATGGGCTTTCTTGGGCAATTGACAGACATTATGGAAACAGACTCCCTGTTATGAATTGGCATAGATGGATATTAGAGGTTCACCAGTGGGCTCAGGGCAGCCAAGCCTCTCCACTCTGGACACATAAACCATTTTCTCTTAAAGAGGCGTGTATTTCTGAGTCAAGGCAACTGGAGCCAAACCACTTTATAAAGCGAAGGTGCTTTAAAAACCATCAAAGCGTGGAAGACTCTGCCCCCTTCTGCTATTCAAGCCACCAGTGCCTCTCTCTGCTGTGCCAGTCTTACCAGGTTTGCTTCAAGGGGACTCCTGCTGTCTGCATCCCTTCTCAGATGGGTACAGAATTGGAGATTGGCTGAAAGTTAACCTCTGGAAGGGAATATTTCCTGCAGCTTGTCAACCTATAACAGGCTGCACAAAGAAGTGAAGCCTTATCTGCGGGATACAGGCAGCATATGAAACCATGCCCCCTCCGGTCCGTGGAAAAAAAATCTTCGTGAACCAGTCCCTGGTGCCCAGAAGGTTGGGGGCTGCTGACCTATAACCATTGCATTTATTTTGGAGCAGCAGGAAACCAAGAGATTTTCCAGGAAGTCCATCCTGAGCTAAAGAGCTGCCACAGTATCAGAGAACCTCAGTGGCACATACCTGCTTGGAAAGAGGTCCTGGCAGTCTGGGGATGGGAGTTGAAATGGCCAGAGGCTCTAGAAACAAAAACTGGATGCTCAAGGGGTCAGGCAATAGGCCAGCCAGGAGAGCGGCTCCAAGCCCAACCAGTCAGCTGGGCTGGCTCTTGTCCTTCGGTGATCCTCAACTGACAGTCATATGGCTGGCAGATTGAGTGATGACACTCAGGACAAATCTGGGGCAAGGCGCAGCCCCTGCTTGGAGCCCCTTGAAGCAACATCTGTTGGGCTCTCTAGCAAAGGGTGGGAGTCTTCCTTGCCATGCCTAGCTCTTCTTTATACTAGTGGAAGTATTAAGTATGGTCTAAGAAAAGGCTAACTTTTGCCCCAACCAGGCTGGAGAAGTTGGCCTTGCTAGCCAGCAGTGATTCCAGCCTGGAAGAGGGCAGGAACCAGCGATATCCCTGAATCCCATCACAGCTGGAACAATTGTCTCTCCAGAAGCAGAAGCCCCTTTTGCTCCATTCAGAGGGGAATATTTTGCAGGGGCCTGCAGCTGCTGACCAGGGGTTCAGTAGGAGACTTTTAGAGGGCTGGCTGGCAGCCAAACCTGGGCCCTTTTGTGTGCTTTGCCCCAGATGATTGTTCCTCAGCCCATTCCAGATCCAGAACTCCAAAGAGAAGAGAGAAAAAGAAGAGAGCCACCAGCCCTGGACCCTGCTTCCCCCCTCCAAGGCCAGAGATACCAGCTTCTTCAGGACCAGTTTGGACCCCTGTGCAAAACGCAGTTTGCACAAGAGCATCTCCACTCCGGTTGCCTCTAGATGTGGCTGGGCAGGTGTTACCTACACCTTCCTTGTGGGTAGCATCTTTAGGGCTACTGACAGGGAACAGGATTGGATACCCAGGAGCGGTTTCATGCAATTTCAAGGGACAATTTATTTATAAGGTAATGCATGCGGGATAACAAATAAACGGCACCCGGCTGCCCGAGCAGGAAATCCTACGAATTCTGCTCCCGTCACGAGTCCCGCATAATAAGCAAGGAGAAGGAAAAGGGAGCGTGGCAGAGCCAAGGGAAGGGAAGGAAGGCCCCGAGCCTAACACGTCAATTTCCCAGCCATTTACTCCGCGTCCACCAGGAGAAAAGGCGTCTCGGTTTCAGGAGCATCCCGGCACTTGGGAACGATGGGCGCTCCGGTTCGGCTCACCGGCTGACATCACGGCATCCCCCGAAAGGCCCCCTGACCAGGAGCAAGCAGCGCCGGACTACAAGTCCCAGGGGGCCTCGCTTCTCCTCCAGGAGCGGCCTGTTCGCACAGCTTCGGCGGGGCACCCCTAGGCAGGCGGCGGCGACGCCTTCCCGGGCGGCGGCGGCGGCGGCGGCGGCTCGCAGTCGGAGAGGGCGCGCAGGCGGGCAGCCTCCTTCCGGAGCGGCTCGGCGCCGTAGATGCCGCCGCCCACGCCCAGCACTATCACAGTCACCAGGCGCACCAGCCGCTCCCTCCCGCGCATGGCTGCCGTTGCTGCCGTTGCTGCCGCCCTCCTGCTGCGGCGCACGCGCGGGGAATTGGTGCAGTTTCGGCTTCTGCGCCTGCGCCCTCCCTCAGATGGCAGTCGCTATGGAGGCGGCCGTGGAGGCGTCTGCCGGAAGGCCTCGCAGGCGGAAGCCGGTGCGGCGGCCGGAGGGGCCGGAGCGGCAGGTGGCTGGTGCCGCGTCCCCCCGAGGACTCCTCGCGCTAAGCCTGGCGCTGCGGCTGGCCTGCTGCCTCTCGGTGCGGACCAGCTTCGTCCCGGACGAGTACTGGCAGTCGCTGGAGGTGGCGCACCGGGCGGCCTTCGGGTATCCGGGTCAGCGGCGGGAGTGGGGGGGGGCGGGCGGCGGGAGGGCGCCTCTGCCCGTCCCTCCAGTGGAGTCCTTAACGGCGCGCCAGATATGGGAGCCTGACCTGGGAGTGGTCCGAGGGCCTGCGCAGCCCCCTGTACCCGCTGCTCTTCGCCGGCCTCTTCAAGGCGCTGCAGCTGCTGGCCAAGGACGAGGTGCCGCTGCTGGTGAGGGCCGGCCCTGGGCGGGCGGGGCACGTGAGGAAGTGGCGCTTTCTGGGAGAAAAAAAGGCCCGTTTTCCCCCGGAGGAGGAAGATGGCCGGCTGCCTTTCGAAGAAGCTGCCCTGAACCAGTTCTAGCCCGAGTGACAAATGGAAATGCCGCCCATCCCTCAGGCCCTGCCCGGAGTCAGCTGCCAGGCTCTTGCCCTTTGGGAGTTGGCTTCCCCATCATGATAACCAGAGCCAAGTCAGGTCAGCCCCCCTGCACTTGACTGGCCCTTGTTGCCAAGGGAAGCTGCCCGCCATTTCAAAAGCTGTCCGAGGGAAGCATTAGAAATTGCCGAGTGGCACCCATGTTTGGTGGAAGGGCGAAGACTTTTAGCAGAGACCTTTGGCTAAGTCAGACGCAGTCTAACAAAGCTGTTTTGACTTGAAAGCACAAGGCCAGTCTGAAAAATCCAAGCAGCGATACTGAAAACTTCTGTGTCAGTACAATATTTGGGGTGTTAGTTTTCCTGCTTTAAATGTGGTTTTGGAGGCTTTCTGTTTTAATGTATGCTTGCATTTTAGTGAAAGATCAGATTTCTCTTTGGAAAAAAGCAAAAATTACTTCCACGTTCTTATTGTGTCTCATCTTCTAACAGATTTGGCTCCCTAGGGTTTTCCAGGCAGTTCTGGCAGCATTTGCAGATGTGAAGTTATATTCCTTGGCCAAGCGACTGGATAACTTTGAGACGGCCCAATGGGTGGTGAGTCTCAGCCTCTCCCCTCAGTCTGCCAGCTACCTAGTGGTCTGAGACCTGACAGACTTCAGACCAAGGAATTTGCTGTGGCTGGGCCCCTCCATCACACCACTACTGTTCCTTGGTTTTGTTCCCAGTACTTT